CGCCTGGGTAAGGACACGCCAGCACGATTGAGCATGGAGCAATACTTTCAGGCACCCGAGGGGAGGTACCGCGGGAGGCCGAGAGTGACACTACCAATAAAGCTCCACACCGATCTGTCCCAGTCGAACAATGGGCACCTGCGGAGTGTTGAGGACTTGCGCCGTCTGGAGCGGATTGCTGTGGACCGTCCAGCATGGAACGCGCTGGTGAAGAGTGTTTGTGCACACCCTCGTCACGAGTAGAAACAGCCATGGCACCCTTATAAACTCATAACAACCATCCTATAATAATATTACTATTTGAATCTTTTAATAATTATCTGGCAACTCAACCTCATACGTATAATTATCTGGCCACCCATTGACCATGATGCTACATGAGGAGACAATAGTGATGACATTTTTCCAATGAGACCAATTTTATGACGCTCCATGTTACTGAAGGACTAACTTCGATCATTGGTTTTGTAGAGCCCCATTCTCTAGGAGCTGTCTACATCTGCTTTGTTTCAATGTCCAGCATAAGCGAACGTGTGGATCAAGCATAACTGCTTGGTTGACGCTGCCGCGGGAATGCGTATAATAATAATAATAATAATAATAATATCCTACAGTATCCCCCATTGTAATTTATACAACCAGGCCCGCATTCAGGTCTATCGCGAAGGATGTTTCACCAACTCTTGAAAATAGTAATTTTATTTATAAGTATGCGTGTCGCTGTGAGCGGACGTACGTTGGTGAGACATGTCAGCGATTCTCGGAAAGGATCAAGCAGCATATCCCAGACAAGCTGTACAAGAAGCCGCCTGACAAACGTGTGGCGACAAGTGATAGCGCCATCACAAAGCATTTGCAGGCGCAACCTGAGTGCATCCCGCAGGAACGCAACAGCAGCTTCAGTGTGATCACACCAGCCCGGAACAGCGCGCACAGATTCACACTGGAGGCGCTGTACATTCGCAGTTTGAGGCCAGAGCTGTGTCGACAAAAGAAGCACATCAAGGTGCTGCGGCTGTTCAAGCTGCAACCGGACTGACAACTTTATCACGTGTTTGTTCTGGTACTGCATTCCCTTCATGTGTTGTTTCCCGCATTTTTCCACTGCTCCATACATTCTTATGGTAGTGTAGTGTGAACTTGAGGCGCGTAAGAATATTCTTGCTGATTCTCTACCCCCAGTATAAATTCTGGCTTCGTTTTCGTTCTTGCTCATTCCCATGTACCTACTGATGAAAATGGGTGAAAAGCTTTTAGTGTTATGAAACTTACAACCTTGTTGTTGTGTGTATATATATATATATATATACACACAACAACAAGGTTGTCAGTTTCATAATACCAAAAGCTTTTCACCCATTTTCATCAGTGGTTACATGGGAATGAGCAAGAACGAAAACGAAGCCAGAATTTATACTGGGGGTAGAGAATCAGCAAGAATATTCTTACGCGCCTCAAGTTCACACTACACTACCATAAGAATGTATGGAGCAGTGGAAAAATGCGGGAAACAACACATGAGGGGAATGCAGTACCAGAACAAACACGTGATAAAGTTGTCAGTCCGGTTGCAGCTTGAACAGCCGTAGCACCTTGATGTGCTTCTTTTGTCGACACAGTTCTGGCCTCAAACTGCGAATGTACAGCGCCTCCAGTGTGCATCGGTGCGCGCTGTTTCGGGCTGGTGTGATCACACTGAAGCTGCTGTTGCGTTCCTGTGGGATGCATTCAGGCTGCGCCTGCAAATGCTTTTCCACTGCTCCATACATTCTTATGGTAGTGTAGTGTGAACTTGAGGCGCGTAAGAATATTCTTGCTGATTCTCTACCCCCAGTATAAATTCTGGCTTCGTTTTCGTTCTTGCTCATTCCCATGTAACCACTGATGAAAATGGGTGAAAAGCTTTTGGTATTATGAAACTGACAACCTTGTTGTTGTGTGTATATAAATTTTGTTCGCCTACCTCTCTATTTATATATATATATATATATATAGAACAATAGAAGTATTTCTTGCGTCGGCAAAAAGTGCTCAATGTCCTAAGACAGAGCGGGGTTATACACTCAGACACAAAGGATCTCCAAGTTTCTCAGTGTTGCTACTCTGAGTTTCGTGCAAAAGCACTCTTCAGGCAACTTACTCTTCTCTCACATCAGTATCCCTTTACATACCAGAAAAGACGAAAAGAAGCACCCTAGGTGGGAATCACAGGTGGAGAAAAGAAGCACGCTAGCCAGTCTAGGTGGGAATCACAGGTGAAGATAAATGTGGCGTCCGTTTAAGAGGAAGAACGCCTTCCATCTCATGCGTCTAACAACTGATTCCACCTTGGCTAGCAGGTCCTTCCGATAGACGTCGTCCGGCGGTATCGGGATATTCTTCAGTGAACAGTCAATATTCATTCGTCTTGGTTCGTCCATAGTGTCGCGTATGCGTTGGCAAGGGAGAGTGCTCAACAAAAGAGGAGCGTCTATAGAACAATAGAAGTATTTCTTGCGTCGGCAAAAAGTGCTCAATGTCCTAAGACAGAGCGGGGTTATACACTCAGACACAAAGGATCTCCAAGTTTCTCAGTGTTGCTACTCTGAGTTTCGTGCAAAAGCACTCTTCAGGCAACTTACTCTTCTCTCACATCAGTATCCCTTTACATACCAGAAAAGACGAAAAGAAGCACCCTAGGTGGGAATCACAGGTGGAGAAAAGAAGCACGCTAGCCAGTCTAGGTGGGAATCACAGGTCACAGGTTCTTTTCTCCACCTGTGATTCCCACCTAGGGTGCTTCTTTTCGTCTTTTCTGGTATGTAAAGGGATACTGATGTGAGAGAAGAGTAAGTTGCCTGAAGAGTGCTTTTGCACGAAACTCAGAGTAGCAACACTGAGAAACTTGGAGATCCTTTGTGTCTGAGTGTATAACCCCGCTCTGTCTTAGGACATTGAGCACTTTTTGCCGACGCAAGAAATACTTCTATTGTTCTATAGACGCTCCTCTTTTGTTGAGCACTCTCCCTTGCCAACGCATACGCGACACTATGGACGAACCAAGACGAATGAATATTGACTGTTCACTGAAGAATATCCCGATACCGCCGGACGACGTCTATCGGAAGGACCTGCTAGCCAAGGTGGAATCAGTTGTTAGACGCATGAGATGGAAGGCGTTCTTCCTCTTAAACGGACGCCACATTTATCTTCACCTGTGATTCCCACCTAGACTGGCTAGCGTGCTTCTTTTCTCCACCTGTGATTCCCACCTAGGGTGCTTCTTTTCGTCTTTTCTGGTATGTAAAGGGATACTGATGTGAGAGAAGAGTAAGTTGCCTGAAGAGTGCTTTTGCACGAAACTCAGAGTAGCAACACTGAGAAACTTGGAGATCCTTTGTGTCTGAGTGTATATATATATATATATATATATGCTGGCTACAAGCGAGGGTCCCTGGTTCGAGTCCTGGTGGTGACAGTCAATTTTTTCTTCAGACTTTTCCCGTTTGTCTCTTTCCCTCAAACTAGTTAATATATATATATATATACACACAACAACAAGGTTGTCAGTTTCATAATACCAAAAGCTTTTCACCCATTTTCATCAGTGGTTACATGGGAATGAGCAAGAACGAAAACGAAGCCAGAATTTATACTGGGGGTAGAGAATCAGCAAGAATATTCTTACGCGCCTCAAGTTCACACTACACTACCATAAGAATGTATGGAGCAGTGGAAAAATGCGGGAAACAACACATGAGGGGAATGCAGTACCAGAACAAACACGTGATAAAGTTGTCAGTCCGGTTGCAGCTTGAACAGCCATAGCACCTTGATGTGCTTCTTTTGTCGACACAGTTCTGGCCTCAAACTGCGAATGTACAGCGCCTCCAGTGTGAATCGGTGCGCGCTGTTTCGGGCTGGTGTGATCACACTGAAGCTGCTGTTGCGTTCCTGTGGGATGCATTCAGGCTGCGCCTGCAAATGCTTTGTGATGGCGCTATCACTTGTTGCCACACGTTTGTCAGGCGGCTTCTTGTACAGCTTGTCTGGGATATGCTGCTTGATCCTTTCCGAGAATCACTGACATGTCTCACCAACGTACGTCCGCTCACAGCGACACGCATACTTATAAATAAAATTACTATTTTCAAGAGTTGGTGAAACATCCTTCGCGATAGACCTGAATGCGGGTCTGGTTGTATAAATTACAATGGGGGATACTGTAGGATAGCAGTTCAAAATTGCAGCTTTAATCTTTTTGCGGAAGGCAATGCAATTATGCCCTTTCCACGGCAATTTTGTGATAATACGCGTTGCAGATTCAAGTTGTGCAGAAGCTGTATCTGGGCTAGGTTCAAGAACGCTTGTCATGACTCGCTTGAGTAATTTGAGTGGGTAACCGTTAGAACACAGAATATCCTCTAGCTTAGCAATTTCAGCTGATAATAGTGATGGTGAGCAGATGGCTTTAGCTCTAAAAGTTAATGATCTGATCAAATTGATTTTGTTTCTAGTGTCACAAAACGAGTCCCAGCGGGTGTAAAGACCTGTGAACGTCGGCTTTCTATATACTGTGGTGAGCAATTCTGTGGAAGAATGCTTAATCAATACATCAAGAAACGGCAATTCTCCATTATTCTCCTCCTCCATTGTAAACTGGAGAGCTGGGTGAAGATTATTTAAACGCTCAGAGAATTCCAATGCCAGTTTCCGGTTGTGAAATGCTGCGAATGTGTCATCCACATAACGCCTATAGAATTGGGGCCAATGACTGTTGTATTATGGTGTAATGCATTACGTAGCCATGCAAGAGCATGCGCGAGATACGCATCTCGCAGCTGCCTACTTTCATGCAGCATCCTTTAGATGTTGGTTCTTATGATTTGCCTACAATGGCCAAGTGAGAACATAATCCTATCGTAAACAACTAACTTGTTTACCCCGAAACATGGTGTCAGAAGTAAACTAAATAAACGCCCTAGAATTGTCGCAGTAGCGCCACCGGTGCAAGAGGTAAAATGGCAGAAGCAGCCGGATTTACCCCGCCGTCGATGGATTGGCAAGCCGCAGATTTACCTGATGAATTCGAGCGGTTCCAACAATACTGCCTTCTAGTTTTCCAAGGGCCCTTTTCCGACAAGTCCGACAAGGAAAAGGTCGCCTATGTCATGCTATGGATCGGGAGAACTGGTGGTGATGCTTTCAATAGTTTCGAGTGGGATAATGCAAGCGACAAATCCAAAGTAGCTGCCGTCTTCAAGAAATTTAATAAGCATTTGCAGCCACGGGTAAATGCACGACTGGCTCGGTTTGAGCTTCAGAAATACCGCCAGCAACCCGACGAGTCTGTAGATGATTACTTTGCGAGGTGTAAGAAGAAGACGTCCAAGTGCAAGTTCAGGGACGCTCAGGAGACTAACGATCGCCTGATAGAACAGCTAATCGTGGGGACGAAGCACTCGAAAGTGCAAGAACGCCTGCTGGAGGGTGGTAGTGATTTGACTCTGGACGAAGCGCTTGACAAGGCCCGTACTTATGAAGCAACACAGTGCCACATGGAGCAGCTGTCCACCGCCACCAGCAGCAGCCGTCTACCTGAAACGGTGCACGCCATTTCCAAATCTGTGGGACACGCAGATTGCGGCAAATGTGGACGAACCCACCACCCAAGCAAGTGCCCAGCGCACGGCTCCACCTGCAACAAATGCGGGAAGGCGAATCACTGGGCAAACGTATGCCGTTCGCAGGGGAGAGACGAGGCACATGGAAGGGGCCAGCAACGCGGACGCTGGCGCCAGAGGAGCCCCAGCCCGCGGGAGCGCTACCCCCAGAGGAGCCCCAGCCCACGGAGACGCTTCGACGCACTGCATTTCGACGCCGTCATCATCGACAGCGTCGAGCGTCACCAACCGCCACTAGAGCGAGAGGTGTTCGCGACCCTCAATGTCAGCCTGGACAACACCAACAGACCGGCCACCTTGAGAGCCAAGGTGGATACGGGCGCCCAGGGCAATATATTGCCGCTGAGAGTGTTCTGCCAAATGTTTCCCCAGCACGTCGGACCAAACGGATACCCAAAGCCGAAGTCCGTGAAGCCGTCAAGTACCACCCTCACAGCGTACGGCGGATCCAAGATAAAGCAATGCGGAACCCGTCCTATTCCGTGCTCTTACGATGGCAAGAGCAAACTCGCTGACTTCTACATCACGGACTGCCCTGGCACTGCTATCATCGGCCTCCCGACAGCGACAGCCCTGCAGTTAGTCACGCTGAACTGCGCTGTCCAGGAGAAGCCAGCGAGCATCCGAGACAAGGACGACCTGATGAAGCAATACCCAAAGTGCTTCGATGGCATTGAGAAATTCCCAGGCAAGTACCACATCACGGTGGACCCCAACGTCGTCCCGGTTGTACACCCTCCACGCCACCTCCACGCCATCGCACTGAGAGACGAGATCAAGACGGAGCTGGAGGACATGATCCAGAACGGCATCATCACCAAGATCCAGGAAGGCGAACCAACAGCATGGGTGAACAGCCTCGTGTTCCGCCTCAAAGACAATGGCAAGCTACGCCTGTGCCTAGACCCCAAGGACCTCAATCACGCCATCCTGCGAGAGCACCACGTGGTCTCCACCATTGAGGAGATCACCCCGAAGTTGAGAGGTGCCAAAGTGTTCTCGATCGTCGACGTCAAATGTGGGTACTGGAATGTGGAGCTCGACGACGAATCCAGTTACCTCACCACCTTCAACACACCATTCGGGCGCTACAGATTCCTTCGCATGCCATTCGGCCTCAAGATGTCGCAAGATGTCTTCCAAGCAAGGATCGACCAGACGTTCGAAGGGTGCTCAGGCGTCACCGGCATCGCAGACGACATCGTCACATACGGGACGTCAGACGAGGACCATGATCTCAACATGCCCCAGATGATGGTTCACTGCGAACAATCTGGTCTCAAGTTGAACCCAGACAAATGCCGCATCAAAGAGGACAAGATCAAGTTCTTCGGCATCATCTGCAGCGCTGACGGAATACAGCCCGACCCGAAGAAGGTCTCAGCGCTGAAGCAGATGGAGCACCCCGAGAACGAGGACGAGCTCCAGACGTTCCTCGGGCTAGTCACGTACATGAGCCCGTTCATACCGAATGCCAGCACACTGACCGCGCACCTGCGTGAGCTGACCAAGCCAGATACACCGTTCGCCTGGACAGACAGCCACCAGCGCACCTTCGACAAGGTCAAGGCCGCCATTTCGACAGAAGTAACGCTCAGTTACTTTGACCCAGGCAAGGCAACGACACTACAAGTCGACGCTTCCATGAAAGGTCTCGGCGCCACTCTGCTGCAGGACGACAAGCCTGTTGCATTCGCCAGCAAGAAGCTTACCGAGACGGAGTCTCGCTACGCCAATATTGAGCGTGAGCTCTTAGCTGTCGTATACGGGTGTGAAAGATTCCACACCTACCTATTCGGTCAGTCATTCACAGTAGAATAAGACCACAAGCCGCTGGAGTCAATCAAGCTCAAGCACCTCCGTGCAGCCCCGCCGCGTCTACAGCGCATGCTGCTGAAGCTGCAGCCGTACGACATGACCATCAAGTACCGCCCCGGAAAGGACATTCCGATCGCAGACGCGCTATCCCGACTGTCGCCAGAGGAAACAGAGCCAATTGAGGACCTCGACGTCAGTGTACACGCCGTGTTCCCGCAATTCAGCGATGCAGCGATGACGAGGATCCGCGAGGAGTCGGCTAAAGACGCCGAGATGTCAGCACTGAAGGAGATGATCTTCAGTGGCTGGCCATCAGAGAGGAGCGCGGTGCCGGCAATTCTGCTCCCGTACTGGAATTTCCGCGACGAGATGAGCACCGAGGACGGTCTCATCCTGAAGAGCAGTCGCGTCCTGATTCCCCCGCCAATGAGGGGGGAAATCCTCAGCAAGCTGCACTCCAGCCACCAAGGCATAGAGAAGACCAAGCTGCGAGCCAGAACGTCCGTCTTCTGGAAGGACATCAACAAGGATATCGAAGCAACTGTCTCATCTTGCACGACGTGCCAGCGCCACCAGAGCAGTCAAGCCAAGGAACCACTGATGCAGCCCGATATTCCACCAAGGGCATGGCACACCTTAGGCACGGACCTGTTCTACCTCGGCGGGTCAGAATACCTCATTGCCGCCGACTACTACTCCAAGTACTTTATCACCCGGAAGCTGCCTGCCGGACAAGCGACCAGCAGGGCCATCATCCAGCACCTCAAGGAGATTTTCGGTGAGCACGGCATCCCAGCCGTGCTGAAGTCGGACAACGGGCCGCAATACAGCAGCCATCTGTTCGCGGAGTTTGCTGCCGAATATGGATTCCGCCACAGTACGTCGTCGCCACATCACCCGCAGAGTAACGGGTTTATCGAATCGCAAGTCAAGATCGCTAAGAGAGCTCTCGAGAAGGCAAGGGAGAGCGGGACCGACCCGCACTTAGCACTGCTGTGCATTCGCGCCACCCCAGTGCGCCAGGGCTTACCGTCGCCGGCCGAGATGCTGTTCGGTCGTCAGGTACAGGACAACCTGCCTCGCAAACACCAGCGCGACACTCGGGACGAGGCCATCCGACAGAAGCTCGAGGAACGGCAGGACCAGCAGAAAGTACACCATGACCAGCGAGCGCAGTCCCTCCGCCCCCTAGTTCCTGGTCAGCACGTCGGCATCCGCAGCCCGACCACGCACCTGTGGGAACCTGGTATCGTAACCCAGTCTGTCAACGGGCCACGGTCATACATGGTGCAGCCTGACCATGGGACAGAAGTACGGCGCAACCGTACCCACCTCAGAGAGAGGCGGGTCCACTTCCCGCCGGATGCCAGTCTCGCAGGCCCTCAGCCGCCGAGTGACGTGCCGTCGCCGTGGAGCGACGTTAGCCAGTCTCAGCCGCCGTCACCGTGTGACGTCAGCCAGCCTGCTGAACCTGCCACCCAGCTGTATCGAACACGGTCTGGCCGCGCAGTCGCACCCAGGTCAATCCTGGATGTGTAGGGCCAGAGAGGCCTCATGGACCTGTTCGCTTATGTCACAGTAGCTGAGGTGCCATTGTTATATTGTACATAGAGCTATTGTTGGATACTATGTCTCTGTATTGTTAGCACGCCGTCGTGTGCCATTCATGATTGTTACCTTGTACATAGAGCTATTGTTGGATGTTATGTTCTATATTGTGAACACGCCGTCATATACATACGGTATGTTATGTAGGTTGTTAAACTCCTTTATGACGAAGGGGATGTTGTATTATGATGTAATGCATTACGTAGCCATGCAAGAGCATGCGCGAGATACGCATCTCGCAGCTGCCTACTTTCATGCAGCATCCTTTAGATGTTGGTTCTTATGATTTGCCTACAATGGCCAAGTGAGAACATAATCCTATCGTAAACAACTAACTTGTTTACCCCGAAACAATGACTGTCTGGAATTGTGTTCTCAAAATATCCAACAAAGATATTGGCTAGCACGGGGCCCAAGGGTGAACCCATGGCTACTCCGGTATAAATTCAGTACTCCAGTATAAATTCTGGCTTCGTTTTCGTTCTTGCTCATTCCCATGTAACCACTGATGAAAATGGGTGAAAAGCTTTTGGTATTATGAAACTGACAACCTTGTTGTTGTGTGTATATAAATTTTGTTCGCCTACCTCTCTATTTAAATATATAATAGAGAGAGAGAGAGAGAGAGAGAGAGAGAGAGAGAGAGAGAGAGAGAGAGAGAGAGAGATTGAGAGACTAGGAAAGAGGGAGATAGACCGAGACAGTGACAGGCTGGTAAGCAGAAAGACAGGCAGGCAGGCAGGCGGCCTGGCAGACAGAGAGATCATGTTAGGGTGTGGGGAAGTACAGTCCATGCGAAAATGATGGCATACAGATATCATCCACAGTGCCTGTGGTTGGGCATTCCAGCTCAAAGCACCATTGGAAGAGCAGCGCGATACCCCAGCACAGCTGCGTGAGCCATTTACCCCCCCCCCCCCCCCCTGTGTCCACTTATGATGGCATTCTTACAACCACACCTATTCACACACATATCCCCTTTTAATCAGATGGGACATCTCACAAGAACATGTATGTGGGATTCTACAGCAGACAATATTGAGACACTGATCTCTGTTCAACTGAACACTCGATCACTGAAACACAACCATAACGAGAGAGCTTGGAAGCTCAGGGCCCTACGCTATGCTTTTTTGCCTTGATGACCTAGACAAAAAAAGCATACGGATGTTATAAATTCTTATATATTTCTACTTTTTGTTTTAGACATAACCTGGGATTTGAACCCGCACTATCGCCCTGCATGCATCCCCCGATACACTTCGCATACATACTAATTCTTCCAAGTTGCTTCACGCTATGATCTTGTATTTGAAAGCCCTATTTGAATATGCATTGGGGCCAGCCGTCTTTGATTGTACGGTACGATACGGGACATGTTCGGGGCAGGTACGGGACAGGTACGGTCGAGGGTAATACGACACCATCTACCGCCTTGATGACGGCAAAAAAAGAATAGGGATGTTATACTTGGTCCGCGTCAGCAATATTGTCGCTTATCTTTTGACAATTTGAACTTAGACTTTGGACATGAACGCGTGCACTTGAAGTGATAAAACTTGGTACGAAGGACGGTAAGGTATAGAATGACAACCGGCTGTAAAGAATTTATTGTCCAAGGAAGGGTTCCTACTTTTTTCGGTCCTCCTCGTCGCTGCTCTCGACGTTGGTGACAAATATTTTTGCTCGGGATCGACTCCCTTGCTTTTGCAAGCTCATCTCTCTTCCTCTCCGCTGCCTGGCTATTTTCTAAACAGAAGTCGATCGTGACGGTCGCCTTCTCTATAGGACCTCGCATGGGCAGTACGACAGCCTGTGTGGTTCAAATCAGACGCCGTTCTTTGCAAGATTTTATTTTGAACGACGACGACGACGACGCGTACAGAACTGGAAAATCTCCACGACGTGCTGAATACTCCGAGCGATGAGTTGGAGGTAAGGGAGCTGAGATCTCAGCTTGACGAGCGATCCCTGAGGTGAGCGATCTCGGCGGTTCAGCAAAATGGGCCTGATTCCGAGTAGCCGATTACTTTCTTGTGGCTTGCGCTGCTCTTGCCTGCACAGCGTAGCAAGATACTCTATTTTGATGCGGCGCTGCCTGTATCAATCAGAATCACCCACCCGTCGCTCTCGAAATCCACTCGAACTGTAGCTAGACCTTTCAGGTACTAGTAAACTAACTTACTAACCAAAATTGGGATGAAATGGGCTGCCAAGTGAGCTTTGGCGACAATATCGCTGACGCGGACAAGTAAATTTTTCAATTCTCCTAGTTTTTCAGGCATTACCTGGGATTCGAACCCGCACTATCGCCCTACATGCATTCCCCCATACACTTCGCATTCATACATTCTTCCAAGTTGCTTCACGTTATGAGATTGCGTTTGAAAGCCCTATTTGAATAGTGCGGCCAGCTGTATGTGGCCAGCTGTGTTTGATGGTACGGTACGGTACGGGACAGATATGGGATAGCGCCAGGCGTGACACAAACACACAAACACACAAACAAACAAACACCAAATTAAAGCTGTGTGGACGTCTTCTGCATAGCTACGGGAATAATTATTACTATTGTACTGCGCTGTATAACGTGATACAATGCAACTGCTGAGATTGCTGATATCCTGAACGGAATTGGTCGCAAACATTCTAGAGTATCACTTGATGGTAACAGAGCTGGTAACTTACGAGACACACAGATTGTTGGTCGTGAACCTGTGCAGGCGTATTGATGTGTTGTGTTAGTAGAGGGTTGGTAGGTAGTGCAATGAGACCCATCAGTGGCGTTGGTATATACCGGTATGTAGCTGACGTTGTTGTCACGCAAGACTTGCGATGTGCTCAGCAGTTGTGAGGCACAGCTGAGCTGCTCCATGTCTGTAGATAAAGGCCGACCACCATATTGCTCGTAGCACGTCCGGTTTGCACCATCTGCTGAGAATGAGATGCTATGGTATGTATACCTGCGTGAGTCACACACTATAGAAGCTGCTTGTGTATCTACAGCAACAAACAAGAGACAGACGTACAATTATGCCATCTCAGTACCATACGTTATGCAGAGTTATGATTTCTGCCAAGAGATGTGTATAATACTTGTTCATAAGCCAAGACGAACTGTCACAAACCGAAAGTCAATATCATACTAAACTCCTTGTTCCACTTGACTTCCCCTCTTTATGTACTTTACATGTACCTTTGAGAATCCAAGTTGAGTGATCTGTTGCCTTGCGTCGTCGAGTACGGTTGTCAGACTGGTGTATCCAATGTTCTTACTAGTCTGGTCATCATAATCATCCGGTGACGTTTGACATTCTTTGTTGCCGAGGGGCATAGCTCGAGCACATCTTCGTTGCACATTCCTTCCCCTCATTGGAACTTTCTGCACCTAAGCCTTCCAAGTTGGAAGGTTGTTGGTTTGCGCTTCATAGAACTGTTGGAGCTAGGTGCCAGGTTGTTGAATGTCTCAGTATCCAAGTTAGTTTTGTCACTTGGGTGCCTTGTTGTCGCACTGTCGCACTGTCTGACTGTATAAGATCTTGCTACCTTTGGTGGATGTTTAGTCATAACTCGAAACTTATTGGTCCTTTCACTTTACTTTTAAAATATTGCCTCGATATCCGCGTTTTAGCTTAGTTTTAGCTTAGTTTTAGCTTAGTTTTAGCTTAGTTTTAGCTTAGTTTTAGCTTAGTTTTAGCTTAGTTTTAGCTTAGTTTTAGCTTAGTTTTCCATAGTGTCCTTAAACCTCACTTGCAGAAAAAAACGTGATTTTCACTATCTGAGTCATTCTACAATATCTAGCTTCACTGAAGAAAGTTTTAACTTACACTCAAAACAGGTGTATGAAGGACCTCAGTATCAACGCAAGTGTTGTTCTACTGGTGTTGTACTGTGGCAACGTGTCGAGGTCGGCTGGGGATTCGCAGTCACTACCTCTTTGCACAATTAACCCTTTCCATGTGTGCCATCTCCCCAAGTCAGCTGCAAATTTTTTATTGCAATCGTGAATTTGAACGGAACGAATTTTGCATACACAGATGCACCCAGCGCAACAAGCATGTCAGGGCGATTTCCATGTCCTCTCCAAGCTTCCCTACGATGCCTCAGATTCGTTCACCTCCTTTCTCAAATTCAACGGATCTTCACGATTCAAAGTGCATAGGAAAGCTGGGATCCAAGCTCTCATTTTTCTACCCACCTAACATATACGGTGGCCATGGGAAAACCAAAGGCACCTGAAGAGCCGCTTGGTATAAAAAAACCTGTCGATCGTCAGAGAGAACATTTTCCAGTTTCTTCTTGTTGCAGTTCGTTCAAACTTTGCCCTATTGGCAAACCCTTGGCATTTGGCCCCTAAAGCCTTACTAATCTCTAGATAGGGCATGCCCGCCCGCATCTGCAACATGACATCTGAGCCTGGTTCTATACCCTTAGCAAAGCTGAACTGGAGCATTTAGATAATTTTATCTTGAAAGCTAGGGTAGTAAGGATGTTTCTATGAGTATGAAAGTAACGTTAGATAGATATGAAACAGAGTCACAATCAATTGCCCTTTGTGACCTTGAGTCCTTACATTTTTGTAGACAAATAGTCCTTCTAGTTACATTACATTGAACTTTTCTCCATGTCTCTGTGTTTGAGTCCCAGAAAACCGACCAAACTGAACGTTAACTACCGTCTGTGGTAGCTGTACTTTGGAAGTCATTATCTATTGACTTGGCACATGCTGCGTACAGAGCGTGCATGCGTAGTGTCTATGCTGGTTGTTTGGTTGTAGTTTTTCTTCTTGTTTTCCTTCTGAAAGTTATTACTTCGAAGTACCATGAATGTCCTCTGTTGAGTATTGACTATTATGTGAACCATAATACCGTCATGTATGTTTTTCATCTCTGGTTTTCCACAAAGCTAGCATGCTATGGGGCTGTTCACCA